GACAGAGCGAGACTCCATCTCAAAAAATAATAATAAAATAAAAGATTCTCATGCCTCAGCCTCCGGAGTAGCTGGGACTACAGGCGCCCACCACCATGCCTGGCTAATTTTTTGTATTTTCAGTAGAGGTGGGGTTTCACCGTGTTAGCCAGGATGGCCTCGATCTCCTAACCTAGTGGTCTGCACGCCTCGGCCTCCCAAAGTGCTGGAGTTTACAAGTGTGAGCCACCACGCCCGGCTTTTTCTAATTTATTTCTAATTTGTTTCCCGAGTCCTGCTCGTGTTTTAATCTCCATATGATAGATGAAGAGCGCAAGGCTCCAAACACAGTGTTAGTGGTCCAGGGTTAAAGAGCTGGTATGCGGTGGAGTCTGAATTTGAATCCTTCTTCTCTTTTTTTTTTTTTTTTTCTTTTTAATTTTTCATGGTGCAGGCATAATCCTGCAAACTCACATCATCCTACTTTGGCTATAAAAATGTGTTTTAGGCACCACCATGCCTGGCTAACTTTTTTATTGTTAGTAGAGATGGGTAGAGATGGGGTTTCAACATGTTGGTCAGGCTGGTCTTGAACTCCTGACCTCAAGTGATCCACCCACCTCGGCCTCCCAAAGTGCTGGGATTACAGGCGTGAGCCATGGAAAAAAATTCTTTTGAGACTGAGTCTCGCTGTATCGCCCAGGCTGGAGTGCAGTGGTGCGATCTTGGCTTACTGCAACCTCTGGCTGCCGGGTTCGAGTGATTCTTGTGCCTCAGCCTCCGGAGTAGCTGGGAGTACAGGCACCTGCCACCACACCTGGCTAATTTTTGTATTTTTAGTAGAGATGGGGTTTCACCATGTTGACCAGGCTGGTCTTGAACTCCCGACCTCAAACAATCTGCCTGCCTCGGCCTCCCAAAGTGCTGGGATTACCTGGCCTCGTGATATTTTGACGCATGTATATAATGTGTATGAATTGGAACCTTTTCTGACGCTCTCCATCCTCCAAGTGAATTGTGCTTGAGAGAGGTTCACTGATCTGCCTAAAGCCACGCAGCCGGAAATTGGCGGAAGAGGGAGGAGAACCAGGTCTGCTCCTTGTCTTTAGGATGTTCTGTCCCTCATTATCGTAGGAGAGGAAACCCTGCCCTGCTGCATGCAGGCCCTGGCTGCTGTTCCTCCTGAAATGCCATTAGCCCAGCCACATCTTTCTTCCCCAGAACTCCATCCTTGGGCTCGCTCAGTCATCTCAGCCCCTCCTGTATTCCAGTCCTTAAAATGTGGAAACCCTAACTAAGCAAGATCATGGCTGCAATTTCAGATCCAAAAGAAGATTTGGGAGGAGGCTGTTCCCATGGAGGCCGGGACCAGGAGGGCAGCTCTCTGCAGCATCCCACCTGTCACCCTCAGAAGACCAAGGAGGGGTGGAGAGAGTGGTGGGCAGCTTCATTTCCCGCCCAGGCTTAAGCTCTGCTTTATCACACCATCTCTCAGAGGAAGGGACCTTGTGCATTAATCTCTTTTTCCTGACATTTCAAGTCAATTTAGATCCAATTTAGATCAAAGTCTGCTCTAGGAGAGCAGAAGAATTGTTTGAGCGGGAGGGGGTTGGGTGAGGGTGTTGTTAACCTTGAAGAGTGTGTGGTCTGGTTGGGGAAAATCGTACTTATGTGTGAAATAATTCTGGCAGTACAAAACATTGTAGCACAGGACCTAACAATTCCAAGATGTATGTTCCTTGGAGATGATTTTGCCAGGACTTGGGTATCTAATACCTAAAAGTAGTGTCCTTATTTTTAAAAAGAAGAAGAAATCTTTAAAAACCAGTGACAATCCACCAAAATACATGTGCTAGGTACGAATGAAAATTCTTGAGTTTTATTTCTATCAGAAAAGTGGAGTTTTCATATATATGTATTTTTTGACATGGGCTCTCACTCTGTCACCCAAGCTAGAGTGCAGTGGCATGATCACAGCTCACTACAGCCTCCACCTCCTGGGTTCAGGTTATCCTTCCACCTCAGCCTCCCAAGTAGCTGGGACTGCAGGTATATGCCACCATGCCTGGCTAATTTTTGTATTTTTTTGTAGAGACAGGGTGTCTCTATGTTGCCCAGGGCTGGCCTTAAACTCCTGGGCTCAAGCGATCCTCCTGCCTCAGCCTCCCAAAGTGCTGGGATTACAGGTGTGAGCCACCACACCCAGCCGGATGTTCATATTTTATATGTGGATCCATTAGAATGCTTATGGCTGCAAGAATAGAGTACATGCATCCCACAAATTTTACAATAAGGACATTTGTTATCTCATATGAGAAGCAATCTCTGCTATGCCCATTGTGTGGGTGACTCTGCCCCACTTGGCTGTCAGATGGTAAATCACTTTTGGGGTGACCACATCTAGTGAAGCAAAATAGGAGACAGCCTCCTAGTGAATCTCCTTTTATCAGGGAGGAATCCCCCAAAGCTTCCCTCCCAGGCCAGCGTTAAGGCTATTTTAGCTGTAAGGGAGACTGAGAAAGGCACATCTGACCTTTCATCCTCTACTGAGGGCCCTAGCTGCAAGAAAGGTGTGATGGGGATGTCAGGGGAGAAGGGAGGCCACAAGAATGTCTGCAGTCACCTAGCAAGTGATAACATCTTGACAGTACTATTACATATATAAATTAAAGTGAGCACATACAGGTAGTTATACTGATGTTGTAAATAAGAGAACCTGTGACTCATTGTTGTAAAAATCATAAGCGTAAGAGTCCCAGAGCCGGGTGCGGTGGCTCACGCCTGTAATCACAGCACTTTGGGCGGCCCAGGCGGGTGGATTACCTGAGGTCAGGAGTTTGAGACCAGCCTGGCCAACATGGTGAAACCCTGTCTTTACTAAAAATACAAAAAATAGCCGGGTGTGGTGGTGGGCACCTGTAATCCCAGCTACTCAGGAGGCTGAGGCAGGAGAATCCGCTTGAATCCCAGAGGCGGATGTTGCCGTGAGCCGAGATCACACCATTGTACTCTAGCCTGGGCCACAGAGCAAGACTCCATCTTGGAAAAAAAAAAAAAAAGTCCCACAAAAGAGGAAGAAGGAAAGCGGACTGTGGGGTCAGAGAGACCAAGGTTTAAAACTCAGTTTTGTGACCGGGTGCGGTGGCTCATGCCTGTAATCCCAGCACTCTGGGAGGCCGAGGTGGGCGGATCATGAGGTCAGGAGATCGAGACCATCCTGGTTAACATGGTGAAACCCCGTCTCTACTAAAAATACAAAAACTTAGCTGGGTGTGGTGGCAGGCGCCTGTAGTCCCAACTACTCGGGAGGCCGAGGCAGGAGAATGGCATGAACCTGGGAGGCGGAGCTTGCAGTGAGCCGAGATCGCGCCACTGCACTCCAGCCTGGGCGACAAAGTGAGACTCCATCTCAAGAAAAAACAAAAAAAACCCCTCGGGTTTGCTACTTACTATGTGAACTTCCTTGGTCAATTTATAAAAACTATTAAGTTTCAACTTTCTCATTAGAATGGTAAATTAATAAATTAGATGATTAATTTAATAAAGCCATATCATATCTCTCTTTAGCATTGTTAAAAGGAAACGGTGTGTGTATTTGTGTTAATGTTAATTTTTCTTCATTTTTGTGCGTGGGGGGCTGTTTACTTGAGGACGGTCGGTGGGGGCGGGTGGGTCAGACCCATCCATCCCCCATGGAAGACCATTCACCTGTCTTCAGATTGGCAGGGCACTTCTATAGACAAGAACATTCTGGATGCTCTGATGCTGAACACCACCAGAATCGGCCATGGATTTGCTTTGAGTAAACACCCCGCAGCCAGGGCTTACTCCTGGGAAAAGGACATCCCCATAGAAGTCTGTCCCATCTCTAACCAGGTATGTGTGACCCATGCGGCTAATCCCATATGATCTCCCCTAACCACTACCTCTGCTGTCTCAAACTTTTCCCCATATAACTTCTCTCTCCTTAAGTCTCTTGTTACCTACATCCCTCCACTCTCCCACCCCTGTTGGTAAAGTTATTCAGGAGGGGCCTTTTGCCTAAGCCACCAATAAGAATAAGACAGCAGGGAGGGTTCCCAGCGGGGTGGGATTTTGGGCAAAACTGTAGACAAAGCAAAAGGACATGGGGGGAGGCCAGTGAAGTGGGATGGGCCATGGGATGCTGCTCCCCATGGTTTCTTGGGGTCCTCTGTGTCTGTGTTCAGTTAGCGCTTCTCTGAGCAGGACCAGAGGAGGAGCATGAGGACTGGCTGTGTTCCTTGTGTCTCCTTGTGACTCTGCCCAGAAGTCATCCCCATACTGGGGAGATAGTCATGGGAAGACAAAGGGAGCTGATGGGGCTCAAGGTCTCACCTCACTTGTGACTACTCTTTTCAGGGATCAGAGCTCATCTTTCTCCCTTGCCTTCTATTGGGCAGGTGCTGAAACTGGTGTCTGACTTGAGGAACCACCCTGTAGCCGCTCTGATGGCCATTGGGCACCCCATGGTAATCAGCTCTGATGACCCAGCCATGTTTGGTGCCAAAGGCTTGTCGTACGATTTCTATGAAGCCTTCATGGGCATTGGGGGGATGAAGGCTGACCTGAGGACCCTCAAACAGCTGGCCATGAACTCTATCAGGTGAGTGTCCCGTGTCCTCCCAGGCCCACCTACTTCTAGCCCGCAGCTTGTGTTTGCCTCTCTGGAGGCTTGAGACAGATGCCTTGACGGTTCCTGTGGGTTCCTTCTCATCATGGCTGTTTAGTCCTTGCTGCTGGCCTGGGGAGGGTGCTCTGCAAGCCTCTAATGTCCCCTCAGGCTCCCTGCCCGGGTCTCCAGCCCCTGCCCTGAGGCTGACCTGGGCCTCTCCTCTTTCTGCAGGTACAGCACCCTGTTGGAGATGGAGAAAAATACCTTCATGGAAATCTGGAAGAAGAGATGGGATAAGTTCATAGCGGATGTGGCTACAAAGTGAGGAGAAGCTAGCCAGCCCTCCACAAGCTGTCTTCTCAAACCCACTGTCACTGCCTCTCACTCGTTCTTGAATCAGCTCCATGTCCCCACCAAATCAACGGCCTCTGTGTGGAGCGACGGTGTCAGAAGCACTTGGCTGGCTGACCAAAGTCATCCTCTAGAAATATTCTCTCTCAATCACAGTGACATTGACCCTCTTGGTTTTCTCCTCTCTCTGGCCATTTCTTCCAGTTTCCCTATTTCAGAGTCTCCTCCTCTCTCTGATCTCTGATCTCTGTGCTGTTTCCTCAGGACTCAGTCCTGGGCTCTCTTCTATTCTGGTCTCTTTATTTTTTTATTTTAAAAATGTTTTTGAGATGGAGTTTTGCTCTTGTTGCCCAGGCTGGAGTGCAGTGGCGCGATCTCGGCTCAGTGCAACCTCCGCCTCCCGGGTTCAGGCAATTCTCCTGCCTCAGCCTCCTGAGTAGCTGGGATTACAGGCATGTGCCACCACACCCAGCTGATTTTTGCATTTTTAGTAGAGACAGGTTTTCACCATGTTGGTCAGGATGATCTCGATCTCTTGAATTCGTGATCTGCCCACCTCTGCCTCCCAAAGTGCTGGAATTACAGGCTGAGCCACCATGCCTGGCCTCTTCTGGTCTCTTTAACTCTCTCCTCTTTATTTCTCTTCTCTCTCTGTACTCTTTTCCTGGGTGGTCTCATCCATTCCTTTGCTTTCTCATACC